AGCAGAGCTCTCTGGAAAGATTTATAGTATATAAAAGAAGTAGTACATAAAATCGAAAGAGCACTAAAGTTGTTGAATGCTGATTAGCTGTTGTCTTCAACTCCAATTTTTGTTTTGCAGTTAAGACACATTTTTGGAATTTTAAATAAGCATAGGTATTACAGGCCACTAAAATAGGTAATAATCATTAAAGGAAAAAAACAATTTTGGACCTTGTACCTTTGTTTGCTTGTGTTTTATTTACCATAAATGAAGTTCTTTTTCAATTTTCTTTTTGTGTGCAGATCACTCTTTTGCTAATACTTTTAACAAACAATTCCTAGAAATTCATTGGTGCACGTGTGTAGAATTTTGTATATTTATTAGTGTGACCTTTTAAACTTTAAAAATTATCCTTCATAAAGAGTCCAATATTACAAATATATTTATACTTTGTGTAAGAATGAACTCCATTTTATTCATCTTTTACAAAATAATTATTGCACACATCTGAGGAATCAGTATATATTTGTTAAATGTTTAGCATATAATTTTTGGTTAAAAACAAATTACTGATTTTAGAATAAAATGGTCACCATCACAGTTCCAAATGAAAAGTTACCTACAGGGCTCTAAAAGTTCCAAAAGAAATATTAAAGTTGTTTGTTGTTTTCTATCTGTGAAACACTGAGCAAATTATCTGCCTTTTAATGTACTTTTCAGGATATTTCTATCCCTTATAAATAAATCTAGAGAGGTTTTTTTATTCTGACCCTGTGAGTATTGACAAATACATTTTATATTCTTATCTATGAAGATAATTTCATAGTTTCAAGAGCTACTATTTATGGACTATATGCAGTAATACATCTCAGTTTTATTTTTTATGTACAGGAACTTTCAAATGGCTAATTCAGTTAGGGAATTTCAAGGACATTATGACAAATAAGATAACATTCAAGACGTTTGAATTTGAGGATTATTGTTTCCACTTACATAAAAGTTGCTTTAATTTGGGTGGGGTTTTAGTTTAATTCTAATTTCACTTTTTTTTTCCTCTAGAAAATCACTTCATCATTACCTGTGGAATTCCATCATATAAGGCATGCTATATATTTTTTTCCTTTTGCAGGAAAGAGCCCAAGAGAGAATTCTCCTCACAACGAACGACCCTGCTGTGCCCTGTGTTTACTCGGCAGTGATCCTCAGAGAAAGAAATTTGAACATGTATTAGAGCTAGACGGAAGAACTGGTGTGATTTTGAAAAAGTTATTGCTGCTTAAAATTCTACTTTAAGCCATATATAAATACAAACCTTTTTAAAACAAAAGAAAAAAGGAAAGCTACTTTTGATGGTACAAATGAAAGGTTTCGTTCCTGACACCAAGTTGCACTGTCCATTTATTTTGTCCCTATCTCTGTACGCAGGGTTTTTCTCCTCTCCTTTTTACTCAATAACAATAATAATATCCGATTTCAGGCTAAGGATCTGGCCAAACGGAATGAGTAATATGAACATCCTAGATCAAACTTTATGAAGCAATTGCCCACCCCTCTTGGTTGATGGAGATGGTGAAGCTCCTCTAGCTTAAATCTACTGGGAAGTTGTAACGATGCGGTTCGCACTTGGACAAATACTGGCGCTTCCACCAAGAATGCCCCCAAACCAGGTACACAGTGAGAAGCCCATACCTACAAAAGAGTAGACCCAGGGGACAGACCTGGACGACGCAGGAGGGTGCGAAGTTAGTAACTAGGCTTTGGGAAACCGAATCGCTCTTTCTCATTCCATTTATTCTTTTCTTTTCTCTCCCTCATTCAAAAATATACATACATATATGTATGTTTATATCAGCTCCCGCCTGAATCTGAATAGCTTGAGGTTTCATTTCGGCATCTAGTTTCTAATAATTAATGATGCCCTCGCCTGGCGCCTGTGGCCGGTGCTGGGGTTCGCGCCCCCGGAGCACCTGACGTCAGCGGCCCGGCTACCTGCGTCAGGTCCCAAGCAGTCCCCGGTGGCTTGGACCAGGACTGTAGGGGCTGCAAGGAGGGATCCCCGGGCAGGGCTGGATGAAACCCTAGAAAGAGAGAAGAGGGCTTCCCCCACGCCTGCCAGAAATTCCTGTCTGTTAGAATCGCAGCGTTCGCGGCTCCGGAGCACCCGTGGGCACACCAGACTTGCGACCGTGTTTGAAGGCCCAAACCCGGGTGTAGGTCCCGGGGCTCGACGAGTGTGGGGTTCTAGAGAACGGGGCCAAAGAAATTCAGAGTAAATCTGCAGGCGGCGGCGAGCGCTTTCTTCCATCCACTCTTGTAAGGGTCAATGTTGTATTGTTTCCACTGGCTCCAAAAAGTGAACCTTAAAGAAATAGACCCACCCTTTCTACCTCAAGTTGGCACACCTTGCAAGTTGCTGGTCCCGGGGAGCTTTTCGCCCGTGCACGGGTCGTGAGAGATCACAATGTTGGGGAAGGGGTGCTGGGACCCGCCCTTGGGGAAAATGAACGCGATCTCGCCACTATCTTTTTTCTCTCCTTCCTCTCCCAAACTTTTCCTTCGTTCCCCACTCTGCTCTTCACCGTTAGACCAATTTTTGCAAATCTCTCAAGCATGGGGAGTTCTCAAGGTTATGGAAAGGTGTGCTTTTTCAAAGGGGGCCAGGGCCTCTGACTTCCCAGAGTGTTCAACCGCGCAGTGGCCCTTGTCCTAAGGGTCGGGGACCGAGTTTGGCAAGCGGTCGGCCTGTGCGTGGAATGGAGTCTACAAATCCTGTAGCTCTCCTAGGCCCTGTGTGGATTTCTTCAACGTAGGCTCTTGGAGAATTATTTCTCTCCGCTAGGATCCTTATTTTTAAACTTTTTTTTTCATGTTAGTAGTGCTTTTCCGTGTAGTTTTCCATCTTTTCATCTGCACTCAGGACAGAGGGGAGTGAAGGCAGAGACTCCCTGAGCAAAGATTTAGGCCGAAAACTGCTTGTTATTACGTTTTCGCCTGGAATAAATTTGGGTCCCAGGAACTGCCCCTGCGCAGCCCCAGCAAAACCCGTGGCGCTGCAATCCTCTCTCGAAGGACAGCAGCTCAAGGAAGTCAGTCGTCGGAGGACCAAGAACACAACTTTGCTTCGTCCTCCTCCCCGCCCCCCTTACACCCTAAGAGTGACTGGGAACTCGGGCAGGAGCGAATTTCTCCCCCTCTCCAATTGAGAGCAGTTAGCTGGCTCTGTTACTGGAGGAAAGAGAAGAAAAGCAGTTTCTGTGGGTGTTTTTTTAAGTTAGAGCTTTAATATCAACTTGAATAAAATGACATCTTTCCAGAGTCAGTCAATAAATACCGCGGTAGCCACCGCACGCTCCAGTGACCTCCCATTCCGTGGCTTCAGAGGAGTCCCCAACTCCAGCCTCATCCGTGAGGCGGGGAGCTGCGGGTTCAGCCGCCATGCACCAGGCCCGGTCCTTGTGGCCAGCCTGCCTTCCCTCTCTCTTGGCTCCAAAGTCTGGAGATGAATCGAACTAAATTAAATCGACACGCGTCAACTTTTAAACGGCTTTAAAATCAGTGACACCTCCCCTCTGTGTGTGCCCCACTGCCTGGCAGATATAAACTGTGACACTCTAGTATCTCCAGCGAGTAAAACACACACACAAACACACGCACACATATATACACGCACACATATACGTATATGTGTGCATATATATATATATACATATGTATATATGTGTGTGTGTCTGTGTGTGTGTGTGTGTGTGTGTGTGTGTATATATATATATATATATATATATATATATATATATATATATATATATATATATATATATCTATATCTATATTGCCATACTGTGACACTGCCTTCACAGCCTTACCTGGGGTCAGGATTTAGCACAACACAATTCATTAGAACAAAATTAGCCTTACTTATAAGCGTTGCTTCAAAGTGGCAACTTGGAGTATTTCAGGAATTATTCGGAGAAGGTATTTTGGTTTTATTTTGTTTGTTTTTTAAGAAGCTGGGAATGTGCTTTTTTTCACCCAATGTCCTTCGCTGCCCTTTTGAGGCAGCGATAGGCCCTCCTGACACTTGGTTAAGCCTCAGGATTTAAAAAGATCATTTCCTCGTACACCAATTTGAGCGAAATCTGGATTCAGAGTGTGGGTTTACACGCCCAGCTCGAATGTCTAATGTATCAAATCCTCGTTAACGAACGGCCCGCTCAGTGGCCGTGTCAGCCAAAGGTCAGCCCCGTGCAACAGGGCAGCGCGGTTCAAAAGCACTCTTCCAGCGCCCCCCTCCCACTCCCCTCCCAAATCCATCTTTCACATTTCAATAATAGAGCACACGGAGTTCCAACGAGAAATGCCAAGGTTGTTTTTCTTTCCTTCTTCACATTAGTGACATGTAAACGACGTGCCCTAAGGCAACTGCTGAAAAATTAAGTTTATTTTTTTTCCAGTGGGAAGGGAGTGTAGTTAGTGGACAAGGTAATTGTCGAAATGTCCTCAAGAGGCACCAATGTTTGAGAAGCTGTGGCTCTTAAAAATCTTCACTTAAAACTAATAATAACAATAATTAATAAAAACTTCACAGCACTGAAATGGAAACCATGAGTAAACTTCGTTGGGGACCTTCGGGATTAGAAACTGCTCAGAGAAAGGGACAATTCCCCTCCCCCATACCACACACACACACACACACACACACACACGTAAACGGACACACTTTAGAGACCAACAGAAAGCCTATTCTTAAAAAGCAGCTTTGGTATCTACAGGGACAAAGGATCCAGGAGAGCGAAGCTGGACCCCTTTCGCCTCCGCCTCACTGGGGAGCCCCGCGGCATTTCTGACTACCTTGGGGTCCTCAGCGTTGATACACACCAGCCTCAGAGGCCGGATTGGCGCGGCTGCTCCGCATCAGCCCAACTTCTCTGCTCGCGCCTCAGGCCACGCGCGCGCGCGCAGTCGCGGGCCGAGTCCTTTGGGAAAGGTGGCTGGGCCGGGTGGGGTAAAACGAGACTTACCAGGTCTGGGATCTAGGTTTCGGGCAAGGTTGGCAGCAGAAAGAGGCCGGGCAGATAGTCAGTCCTACCGGAGACGCGCAATTTGGACAGGGACTAAGGCGTGAGTGGGGGGAAGAAAAGCGTCTGTCTGGTTTGGGGTCCCTCTTCCCTTAGCTGGGGCCTGCGCAGACTAAATTCGCCCTGGCCTGTGGAGGCCCCAGAGCCCGCCTCACCGTCATCTAGCCTGGGCGTGCGGACCTCCGGGCTCTGGCGCCGACCCGGGGGCGCCGGAGGAGCAGTTGGGGGAGCAGGGAAGGGGCGTCCCCACTCTCTAGCTGGAGAGAAGGCAACTGCCTCGCCTGCACTGACACTGGCGGCCAAGCTGAGCAGCGGGGCAAGTCCGCCGCGCCGGGCCGCAGGCTTGCAGACCCCAGCCGGCTTTTGCCCTTGCCCCTCCCTTCCCTCAAGCCCCTCGCCAACTGAAAAGGGTTCGTGGGGCCTTGGCCTTTTGAGAAAGAACGCAGGAACCCACGCTGGGTTTGTTCTTTCTGCCCAGAGCGAGGCCGACTCAGGTCTTCGTCATTAGCATGAAGTCCGTAATGTCTAGCTCGCCCCCACCCCCACCCCCACCCCAACATACTCAAACACAAAAGGACCCAAATTGGGAAGGGACTTCCTGTGGGGTGGCCCTTGTGACGGGGTTTGGTGTATCTAGGGATTCTGCGCCTCCGACGAGAGGCCCGGCTTCCGGGCCTCCGGGTGCCTTAGACAAGAGAATCCTCGTGCTCCGGCCCCTTCCTGCCCAGTCCCCGCGAGTGGGAGAGAGCAGCTTCTGCCAGGCCTTTGTGAGCCCAGGTCACGATGGCTCTTCTCGGGCCATCCTCGTATCACTGAACTCCGAGTCTTGGAGCCGGGTAGGAGTAAAGACTTTGCCCTGGGGGGATCATTTCCAAAACCCCTCTGCCTCGCTCTCAGGTTCAAAGCTGAAGACTTGGTGAGTGGTGAAATGGTGCTATGGCCCCTGAAACTGGCTGAGGTGAAGCTGGCCCTAGGTTGGACTGCAGTGCGAACTGGTCAGTAACACAAGACCTCTCCTGCTGACAATGGGGAAAACAAGAGGAATGGAATGGGTCTACCTGCTCAGTTGAAAGTAATAACCAAAGCAGGATTGGAACCTGTTGGCAGCCATTTTCTGCTGTCATGGTACCTAGGATTTTGACTAAAATACCCAAAGGCAAAACTCTGCAGAAGCCAGTCTGAGGATAGTTACCCAAAGACCCTCCACTATCCCTCCCTCCCCTTTGTTTACAAGGGTTGATCGCTCCACTAGACAGATTATGCACTCCCTCTGGAAATGACAGTACATTGGCCACAAAATATCCTGCAACGTGCAGGACCCCAAGAATGTCACCGAGAGAGAAAGGCAGCAGCCGGCACCTGAACGCCACCAAACCCTACACTTTCCAGGTCTCTAGGCCAGGTAGGGCAGTTCCTTCACCAGTCATCATGTCTGCACCACGTAAGCACGTTGGAGCTTAAAACTACCAGCTAATAAGCATGCAAGCTGACAAGTTTTATATGATTTGGGAAGGGTCAAGTGAAAACCCTAGAGAAGCCATTCAAGCAAGTAGTCCCCCAAAAGGGTTGGAGGGACTGGGGCACAGTCAGAGTCAGAGAGAGGAAGAGGAACCAGGAGGAAGGAAAACGGAGAGAGGAGAGAGGAAAGAAGAGAGAGGAGGGAGGGAGGGAGAGACAGAGGGAGAGGGAGAGGGAGAGAGAAACGGACAAAGACAGGCAGACGCTCAGGCCTGGGTGTGTGCAAAGGAAGAGGGTGGGCGCTAGGGAACACCCAGTGTCCCACTCCACACACACACTTCAGGTTTAGGTTCTAAGGGCCAGGTGAGTAAGAGGGGACGTCCTTTCCGAGGGGCTGAGATACGAGAAAAGCCAGGGTGCCGGTTCCCAACTTGGAAGGGCACAAGAGGGGTAAGGATTTTCAGTGGCATGGCTCGTGGTCCACTATGGCTCGTGCCCTTCGCAGAGCGCGGCCCTTAGGATTGTGGGGAGACTGCCGGACCCGCTCAGTTACGCGTTTGGACGGCTGAGGCCGCAAGTTGCTCCAGCCTACGTGTCTGCCTGGCTTTGTGAACGCACTTAAACCAGCGTGGTTTGAAAACAAACACGTGCAGCTTCTTCGCCGTACTATTTTGACATTCCGGCCAGCGGCATTCACAGGCAGGAGCCTCTGAGCCAGGGCTACTTGCAGCCCGCATGGGCGGGGGCGCCGCTGCTTATTCTTCAGCACGTGGAACCGTTGATCGCGCGTGCGCACTGCCCTCCCAGCCGCCGCCGCAGACCGCTGCAGACTTGGAAAGCGCCCGGCGGGGCTGCAGGATGGCGTAAAGAGCCGCTCAAATGTTGACCACCCGGCCTTCTGTGGAGGTGATGTGGGGGGTTTTCTGTTCCACCCACCACACCGCCCCCCAAATCTGGAATTTATATATTTTCACGAAATTCCCCAGGACAAAAATCTTTGACGCACAGACTCACCCAACCCTATCCTTTCTCGTGGTTTTACCTTCCTCCACAACTTTGAGCTTTCTTTGCCAGAGGCCAGGATTTTCCAGGATAAACAATTTTTAAAAAAAGAAATCACGATGTGAGCTTCTCTCACCCTCTTTACGTCTTTATGTTTTCTGTAGCATAATGGGAATTGTTGCACAAAAGAGGGATGCATAATATATTTTTTTTAAGTTTGCTAACTTTTGGGTATTTTTTAAAAGATATGATCCCCATATGTTTTTATCCACGCTTAACAGTTGATTCTTGTGTATGCTGTAGGTGAAAATATCACTGTGTAAGTTTCATAGCCCGTGAATTCTCCAGCGTATACTTACAGAGATGCCCCGCAAACCATCACAGGCAGCCAAAATATTGTTGACAGTCGAAAGTCTCTAGCATCTTCATTGCCAATGTCCTTTCCATACTAGATTGCTAAATCCGATTTCTTTATCTTGAAAAACCCACCTCCAGTATAGCATCAATTGGAAACTTCATACTATTTTAGCTTCTCGCTCTAAAGTGGAAATAAACGTTAGGAACTCATGCCAGAATTCAGCATGCATGGTAAAAATAGCCCCTGGTTTAGCCTGATCGTGTTTCCTCTTGCTGAGTCAGAGACTCTGGAATAAACCAGCCTTGTATAGATTAATGGAGAGCATTGCCCATATTTTGTGTGTATTATGTCATTATATTTGCAATAAACTTTGAGGGAAAGGCTCAAGTGTGACATGTTATAGGAAGTTAACATTTTTCTTATTTGTTGTCCCAAACTAGAGAATATCATTTGAAAAAATAGATTATCGTATAGTTAGCCCCATAAAGTCTTAGTCTCTACCCGTATATCTAACTAGTTTAAATGGGCATATTACTGAGGGTGAATGGAGTGCTAAAAATCTGAAAAAGAGAACACCCTGAGTTATGTGAACTTTCAGTGGCTTGGCTAGCCTAGAAGGGATAAATCTTCCTGTCGCCACTCTATTTTCAACAATTCTAGAGAGTGATATCAGCTGTGACTATCTTTGTGAAAATAACACTTTTTTTCTAATATGAAAACATAGTTCTAAGGTCTATGCTTGATGCTAGGAGGAGGTGAGAACTCTGTACCTAGAGAGAAGATAAATTTGTAATTAGCATTTTGAGCTGGAAAAAAGAAAGAAATGTAAGTTGTAAATGTCTAAAATCTGGTGGCTTCCTATCTAGTTCACAAATATCAAAGGCACAAGCACATTGTCTTCATTTTTAGTTTGGCAGACCACATACTGTTACTTCCCAGCCATCACAAACTGACACTGCTCTTCATAGACCAGGGCCTTCTCTAAGCTGCTTCCTGGAAAGAAACATGTTCAGGTACCAACTCTACCAGCACTATTTGGTGAGTACAGTTTTGTTGCCAGCCTTTAAAAGTTCTGAGAAAACTTCACAATCAACAAATAAAAACATTTAAATGCCAGGCCCATCAGCAAAGAAGGTTAGTGCTATTTTCATTGTCAGCTAAAGCAAAAAAAAAAAAAAAAGATAAGCATATGGGGCAATTGAAAGGTTACATCTTTCTTTTGGAGGTGGTTTGCTTCTTAAAGGTTAACTTGAATGCTTGACTTTAAAAAATCAAAATCATCAGCTGCAAATGCTTAAAGCAGTTGGGGGTAGCTTTTGAAGAAGAAAACAAAGGATATGAAATGTTTGAAAATTACTTAGACCCCCATATAAATGATGCTTGTATATTTATATGCTTACTCTATAAATTACACACACATACCACAACTCATTTCTTTTCATTTCTCAAATACGATTGCTTGTACTCAGGCATTTTTTGTTGACACAATATAACTTTTTAATAACTTGTTAGCTATTCTAATCAGTTGGCAGTATCTAGACTACAATGCAGTCAAAATACGAACCAGGACAGCTTTCTGCCTAAATCAAAATCCACAGCTACACATAGAAACCAGTCATTTGCAACATCTTCAGCTCCTGCTAAATAGGGTCTAACAATATATTTCCCTGTTCACATTCATGTATTTCAGAACCTAATAGCCCATGAAGAAAAGTATGAAGAATACATCTCAAGAAGCAGACATTAAAGGTACCAGCAAAAATAATAGACTATGTTGAAGTTTGAAGCATTATTTTAGGCTACCTACATCATTAATGACTTTTTCTTTGTGATGGGTGTTAGAGAAGAGAATGCATAAAGAGGAATGGCATACATATAAATATTGACTTCTACTATAAAAGTTCATTTCCTGTGAGTGAGATTATTCACAAACACACACACAGTACTCCTCAAATGTTTTTTTTTAATTATTTGGCCTTCAAAGTCTAAAATATATATATTTTAAATGTGAAGTAGTTTTGAAGTAAATAGTACCCCTAAAATTTGCCTTTAAAATACCCTACTTAAATCATGTATCATAGTATATTTAATTATTTACTGGAATTAAAGTTTAAAAAGACACCAGGTACATAACAAATAATAAGATGTTTATATTTCCAAATTTGATGTAAACTGCATTTAGAAAAAATGCAATCATTTTGTATCTACCAAAGTTGCAAAAGTACTGCTGCTGCTGTTATCATCACCATCATCATCATCATCCTCATCCTCATATCAAGCTCCCAAACATTCTGCTTTCTAATGTGAAGAAGGATAATTGAGGTGTTCATCTTTCTTTCCTAGAGAGATAAGCTATCATTATTCCTCTTTCTATTTTTGTTAATTATTAGTCTAATGTCTAGAGTCACTTCAAATTCTGCACTGTTAATCTATTTCAAACCCCCAAAGCCAACTGGAGCCAGATTTTGGTCTCATGCACTTTGAGAACTAGTAGCAATTCCTGCTTAGGTGTTCAACTTCCTTAAATCTGGCCAAACCTTGCAAGGTGGCGCTCTTTTCATCAAAGGTAAGTATTTTCTCTTATAATCACAATATTTTTTTAAAAATTAAACACCATCATTTTCAGTTTTTGATGTGCTACAGGAAGTTCACCAAATCCCCTCCTTCGCCAGTAAAACTGTTGACTAAAAGTGACAAATGCAAATAGCAAGAGATGAAAGGACAAGTCAACAAATAATTTTAAAGAGAATTTAACGTTTTGGTTTTGTAATTGGGCAGTGGCATACTCTGAAAAATTAATGCCACTTTAAAGTAGATATGAGAATCTTAAGGGGTTCTCATAGTTTTGAGGGGTTTTCCCACTTTTTTTCTCCTCGGAGTCAATATGGCCTGTGACTTTCTGAACTCACAGTGTATTAAAGAAGCAGGCCCGGATTCCTCCTTGCTCACAGTGAGGTCAGTTTTGCCTCCTGCTCAGACACATTCACACCCTTGCATCTACAGCCAAGGCCCTGATTTGTGATCTCCAGCTACGTTGTCTGCTTAATGGGGCGATCATGCAAGCTACAACCAGAGACAAAGAAGCTTGCGTTCCTACCAGCGGTGCTAACTTCGAGGGAGCAGCATAGCTTGCAAATCTATCAAACTAAACTGCAAGAAAGACAATCTGATTTAGAGAAAAGGCGTTCCGCCACAGTCATTAAGCACAAGTAATTTAGATTTTTTATATTGTCTCCTCATTTACAAATTTACTGTATCAACGCCAGCCAATGGAACGAATTTCTTAAGTAAATGAGAAATAAATAAAAGAGATAGAAAGATAATAAAATTACATAAAATAATTCTCTTCCCTAGATGTATTTTCTGAGAGAGCCAATAACAGTGGCAAAATTATAGTAATAATAACATATCACAGGAAGTAATTAATTTAAATTAGCATCACGTTTGAAGAAATATAAGTAAAACGTTTTATGGACGTTTACTTTTGTACAAAGAAGGAAGGCCTGGAAAAGCATGCATCGACATCCTGAAAATTAGTTATAGCCATAAATGGTTTAATTGAAGACAGCAATTTTAAAATATGATATTGTAAATCTGCAACTCGGTTTCAGCCTGGGGAATTTAATTTGGGGGCGGGGGCGGAGGGGGGGGCAGCAGCAGAACCCTCGGCCGCAAGTTCATTTGCAACGCTGCAAAGGTAGCCCTGAGCTTCTGACAATCCGCCTACATTAATATTGATGTCGTCTGTGCAATCTATTTCTGTTATTTTTATGGTTGTTATTCTACGTCTGCAAAGGTCATTTAAATTATACTGCGGCCTAAAATTTGTTTCATAAATTTTGATATAAATACTAATTACACCCTCTCGGAGAGCCAGCAGGGTAGCGTTCATTTATCACGTTTATACGACCTGCAATGACAGAAAGGGAAGGCGAGGGAGACTGGAGAGCTTTTCCCCGGAACGCCTAAAGCTGGCAGAAGAGGCAGCAGGTTGCTGGGGTGAAGAAGAAATTCCTACCACAATCACTGAGATTTAAGAATCTTTAATAACGTACGAAAGGTTACCAAACAGTTCTGGAAACTAAAGTGTACATAACGAGTTCTTCTAGCCATAAATATTGAATAGCTGTAACATGAATAAACCGGCCCTTTACATGCGGATAAATATGGAAACTAGGAATTATATACATTATGTGGTTGTATCTTTTGCCAAAAGCAACGGACAGTTATAGTTTATATCTTTTTTTAATATCACTTTACATAAACAAATGGAACAGTTTGACACGCAGATCCAGGCTCGTACTATACGAATTCTTGACAGGACGTGAAACAACATTTTACTGCACTAAAGTACTTAGACTCTGGGACGAAATGTTTGCACTTTATACAAAAAAAAAAAGCACATTAATACCAATAATATTCTGTTAGGTCGACGTGGAGACTGTAATCGTACAAAGTAATTCACATTTTGGTACACATTTACTAGAACATTCTTGCCATTCAGTACAAACAGNCCCCTGGCCCCTCCCCCCTCCCCAAATGCAAAGACCACAACGCCACGATCCCACCCGCCCGCTCCAACCGAGATATAACTATTTACAGATCCAACAGTACAGTTTTAAGCTAATATTTCTGTATTTACAAGAATGCGGGGGCGGAAAAAAGCCGAAGCCCAGAGAGCCTGTTCTGATTCTGCCGAGAAACCGGCCCTCGTGGTTGGCAGCATTTGGTCAGGCGGCTGCCTTCTCCTCGGTCCCCCTCCCGCCCCTTAACTACCAAACCCAGCCTTTACCAAAAAAAGAAATAAGAAAAAGAAAAAGATGTAAAGGTTTGGTGCTTTCTCTCTCACTCGGTCCCGGGTCTACTAGCAGGTTCAAAAAAATTTGGATTGCGGGTTGGGGGGATGGGGGTGTTTTGATTCGCAGGGTTCTTTCCGCAATATTTTGTTTACCTGTGTGTGTGTGTTCAGTCTCTTAAATAGGGTTTTGATCGGTATTTTTTTTTATTTTAAACGTACCATTCATTAAAATTGGAAGAGAGCGCGCTGTGGCCGGCTGTGTGGTGGACCGCGGAGGAGGAGGGCGACAGGGAGCTGGCGGTCGGGTTGTCTGTGGAGGGAGACACGATGGTGGGCGGTGTGGAGGACTCATAGCCGGAGCTGGCGGCCGGTGAAGGCTGCGAGCCCTGCGAGGAGGATTCGTGGACCTGCGAGGGGGGAAAGTCGCGTTTTTAAGGAAATAAAGAGCTGGACTGGCGGCCGCTGAGGGCGGGTGCGGGCCTCGCGCCGCCTGTCCCCAGAGCCCTGGATCCCGTGGACCTCCCGGGAAGTCCCACCCGCGGGCCTGGCCTTGGCTGTCCCACCTCGGTCCGGCGGAGGCAGTGCTGCAGGGAGCCCCAACGCCCGCCGCCGGGACCACAAAAGGAAAACAGATCTGGGTTTGGGGAGAGAGCCCCAGAGGGTCCCTCCCGCGGCCGCTGAACTTCGCTTGCTCAGGTCTACGTGCAAGACCCCAACTCTTCTGCCAACGCCGCCGGCCACAATGGCGACAACTCCCGCAGCGCAGCCAGCCGGGGCAGCCCTCGCTCCCTATCTGGGCCAAATTCAGTCGCGGCCTCTGCTCGAGTGTTCACTTTTTTGTTTCATTATTAAATATTAAATTTAGAACAGCCTGGGGTGCCCACATTCCCTTTCCCAGCCCCTTTCAGCCTCCGCCGGCCCCTGCCACTGCCCGGCCGCCACTCGCCCGGCCCCGGCCCCGGCGGAAGAGCTGGCTCCTGGCCCGAAGGAGGTCGGGGGGAGCGCGGCGATTACCTTCATGTGTTTACGCAGCGAGCTGGGGTGCGTGTAGGACTTGTCGCACATCTTGCAAAGATAGGGCTTGTCGCTCGTGTGCACGTGCATGTGCTTCTTTCGGTCGCTGCTATTGGCAAAACGTCGGTCGCAGCCCTCGAACTCGCACTTGAAGGGCTTCTCCCCTGGCGTGAAAGGCGAGAAGGAGAGTCAGGTCTAATTAGAACAAATCCCGCGGCTGTTTTTTTGTTTGTTTGTTTTTTAACGTATATAAATGGAAAATGAAAACAAAAAAAGGCAGCGGCCCAGGTTTAGCATTTTTCAAGCTTAGAAACAGGGGTCTTCAATAAAGTCACATATATGGAGTGGATTTATAAATATCCGAATTATTTTACTCCTAATCCAATTAGATGATGATGATGATGATGATGATGATGATGATTGGTAGGTGTTTTTTTTTAGATCTCGGAGTAGTAGCAGGTCTGGCTTCTGATTCTTCTGCCCGGGGCTATCCAGACGACTTCGGCGGCTCTACCTAGCTCTTGGTTTCTAATTTTCACATGCCAGACTGATTCTCCTACTGTTTTCCGCTTCTCCCCTCCCCTCACCCCCTCCCTGACATTCCGCATCCACCTCGTCGCCTCCCCCACCCCACCCCACCCCCTACACACACACATTTTATAACCTAATCTGGGCCGAGAGCTGGGCGCCGCAAATTCTTCCCTGACTGCGGTGTTAAACCCTAAAGACGAAACGCGGGTCTCAGAATCACCCAGGCAAACCAGAATAGGGAAGCAGATCCGATTCCTGGTCTCCTTGGAGCAAGGGGCTGAGAATGGCCTGCCCGACCCAGACTACGGCCTTGGGCTCGCCGCCAACTTTTAACTGTTCCCAACTGGTTGTCTCTTTATTTTTAAAGGCCAACGCAGGGGATTCGGTGTTTTGAAAACCACCTCATCGAATCGAATTGACAAAAAAGTCTTATCTGCCTTCTACCGACTCTCCGCACTCTTCAAGCCTACACACAAACAAGTCACTACTAAAATTGGACTCTTTAAATATTCATAACCTTCCAAAAGCTTCCTCAGGCCGACTTACTCGCTTTCACCACTCCCTCCCTCCTTACTGTCTTTCCATTTTTGTTTCTTTTTGTGCCCCTTCATCCGATCTCCTCCAATTTCCTCAGTTCCTTCCTTTGGGAAAGTCCTCACTAAGGTGCGTAGAGAGGAATGCTGGTGGGAAGCAAACGTTTGGATTTAGATTTGTCTGCAGCTAAGCGGCTGGAGCCTCCGCCGCCGCCGGGAGCCGGCCACCTCTCCCGGCTTCAGGCGCACCAAGGGTTCTGCAAAGCCGGGTTTGTCTCTGCTCTCCCGGCCTCTTTTATTCCTCTTTTTAAAATCTATATCCCTATATCCTTCCCATCTAATCCTTCCTATACTTTTTCATAATTTTCAGCCTCAAACTAAAAACCAGGGGACACTTTCGTTGCCTGCCTGCTGGAACCTGAAGCAAGATCCAACCAAGGCCCGGTTTGTGGGCCCGGCCTCTGACTTTTGGATTTCGGGTCCCAGGCCCAGGATAGGGCGCAAGGATGTGTGTGTGTGTTTTGGGCCGGTAAGGGGGGAGGGAGTCAAGAACAGAGGTTTCCATACCTGTGTGCGTCCTTTTGTGGATCTTTAAGTTCTCAGAACGCGCGAAGACCTTGCCGCAGCCAGGAAAAGGACAGGGGAAGGGCTTCTCGCCCGTGTGCACGCGGATGTGGTTGACCAGTTTGTATTTGGCTTTGAAGGGCTTGCCCTCGCGTGGACACTCCTCCCAGAAGCAGATGTGGTTACTCTGCTCCGGGCCGCCTACGTGCTCCACGGTGACGTGCGTGACCAGCTCGTGCATGGTGCTGAAAGTTTTGTTGCACGACTTTTTGGGGTTAGCCAGCTGCTCCGGCTCGATCCACTTGCAGATGAGCTCCTGCTTGATGGGTTGGCGCATGTAGCGGAAGAAGGCGCCGGCGCCGTGATGCGCAGCCATGTTCACGTTCATGGGGCCGTAGCCGTGCAGCTGCGGCGCGGCATAGTGCTCCGAACGCGGGCTGGTCACCTGGCCATACTGCTCGGGCCGCGGGTACATGTCCCCCGAGAAGCCAAGCCTCATCTGCCCGTTGACTACGTTGGGCGACGCGTGGCCTGCCGCCTGCTCGTGAAGGCCGGGGAAAAGGAGGTGGCCCGCGGCGTCCGTGTGGCCGTGTGGGCCCCCAAAGCCCCCAGCCGAAGCAGCGAACAGGCTGTGCTGCGCGCTGGCTGCCGCCGCTGCGTCGCCAAAGCCCCGGTTGCGGAACAGAAAGTCCCGCGTGGAGTTGAAGGCTGCGCTCGAATAGGAGCCGACGTGGCCCGGGTGATGGTGATGGCCAAGGGCCGCGGCAGCCGCGTAGCCCGGCGCCTGCGACGTGAAGGCCGTCTGGCCTGCGGAGGCCAGCTCGTGCGAGCTGGGATTGAGCTTGAAGGCGCCCATGCCGTCGGCGAACGGGTTGATGCCCAGGCCCACGTCGCGCTCGGACACGTCGCCTGCCGAGTGGTGGCGGGACGCGCCGAAGGTGGTCACGCCGATCGCTGGGTACTGGGGGCCGGCGTCCAGGAGCATCGTGGCTGCTCGGGGCGAGCCCCGGCCTCCCCCGCCCCCCCCACCCTCGCCCGCCGAGGATGGGAAATCGGGAGGAGGAGGAGGAGGTAGGAGGAGGAATGGGAGGCGGAAGAAGAGGAGGAAGAAGAAGAGGAGGGAGGAGGAGGCGACCCACCTCGCGAAGTCCTAGCCCGCAGGCAGCGGCGCCGCGCGCCGGGAAGCCCGCCTGGCCGAGCGCGGGGACGCCGGACGGCTGCGGGCCGCGAGCAAGGCGGGCTCCAGCGCCCGCCGAGCAGACCCCGCCGGCCCGGCTCGCACTTTCTCGCCGCTCAGTCTCTGCCGAGAGGACCCTGCGTCAAGGCTGCCCAGGGAAAGGCATGGAGCATCTCAGCCCCCCAAAAAAACTTCCTCCCGGATTTGTAGCATAGAGGAATATGAGCGCTCTGAGCCGCGACTGCTCGCTCTCTCAGCCTCGCGCCGCACGCCCCTCCTCACTTCTCCACTCGCCCCTCGCCCTTTCTTTTCTCTCTGTCTCTCTTTTCTCTCGGGCTCGCCTCCTCGCTCCTTCACTTTTTCCCCCCTCTGCTTTTTGCAAAGAAAAAAATAAATAATAATAATGATGATGAAAGGGGGGAGAAAAAAGGAAAGAAAGAAAAAGCCAAAGAAAAGGCGCAAATCATGCACAATATTGTCTTTTGCGGTTTATCTTCCTGGGGAGAAACTTTCACCTCCTCAGCCGGGCGGTGAGCGCGAGACTGATAGCAGCAATCATTCCTGCAGATAAATGAATTGAAAGGACGACACCGTCCCCCCCTTGATGAATGAGAGCAGGGGGAGGTGTCACGTGCTGCTAACGCGGGCGCCCATTGGTGCGCTCGCTCTCCCCCCTCCCGCAGCCGCCGCGCCAACGGAGGGCGCGCGGAGGAGCCGCGCGCTGTTCATTGGCCCGCCCGCCTCATCAATCCCAGGTATTGTAAAGCGCTTGACATCCCTTTTTGACAAACCCGGCAGCCAGGAGTAGCAACTTTTTTTTTTAGCCAGATTTTTTTCCCTCTTCCCATGGAAAAAAAAATTTTTTTTTGTTTTGCCACGATTCCTTTTTCTTGCAGTCATATACGTTTTTTCTCTTCCTTATCCCTCTTCCTCTTCTCCCCCTTCTCTCTCTCTCTCTCTCTCTCTCTCTCTCTCTCTCTCTCTCTCTCT